CCCACCCACCCACCAATCCATCCATCCATCGCTCCATCCATCTTATTTGAAGCTGCTAGAAGTTGATAACCAGTATCAAAGGATCTTCCGTGTTAAGAAGAGCCTGCTGCGGAAAAACTGTTTTTCACCTTCTGCAATCAGAGCTGTCAGTGGTTCCCCTGAGTCCATTCCAAATTTCTTTAAAATGAATAGCTCCTTTCAGCTACTCTCTGGCTGGCAGATGAAATCTAGGGAAGCTGGAGCTATTGGCTTATTGGCATGTCAGCTGAATCTCTCCCTATTGTCTCTCGTCTCTTTGGCTGCCAAAGTAATCTCTACTGGGGCCGTGCCTCCCCGAGAACAGAGGGCATGGGTCTCAACCTACTCTACCTTTAACTGTACGGTCACTTTACTACCTCTTGTTCTGTGATTAGTAGGAATCGGTTATTTTCTATTTCTAGGATTGCATCCAGCTCTCACAAATGCTCCGTTTTGATTAGAATCGAACTCCCCCTCCTTGAGGCTGCTGTTACTAAGGTCCTGTCCATAGCCTATTCTTGCATTTCGAAGTTAACCTTTCCCGTTTCTTTGCTCGTCTGCCTGTTCCCATCGGTTCCGTGAAACCTGATTTGCCTTTTGTAGGTTGTTTTCCCACCCAACTCATCTCCTTCTGTGTCTTTTAAGTCCATGAGGGTTCATCTGCCTTACAACTCCAGTCGTTCAAAATTAATGTTTTCCTGCACCAGTCCTTCCTATCCCTTTGGATAAAATCCAATCTTCCTCCAGTCGCTTATGCAATGCCCCTCTCTTTCTCCCCCTCCCCCCCCCCCTCCCCCCCCCCCACCCCCAAAACAGTGCCTTAGGGAGCTGGCTCCATTCTATTCTGGGGAACATCAGTCTTGGTCCTTTTCCACCACCAGCCCATTATGCAATGCCTCTCCGATCTCCCGTTTCTTAGCCTCTGTCCAGTTGTTTTTTCGTTCTAACTTTCCTCGATTCCGCCCTGATTTCTGTTTATTGATACCTTTGCTTGAGAGAGATTATTTTATCTCCTTGTGTCCATGCACTTCGCTCTCCAGATTACCCATAGTGCTGTTCTCCTGAATAGTTCAAAGATGTTCCAAGACTCGACGCACGTTAGACTGCCTTTGATAGATGTCAGGAGCAGGGTTGCCTACCCGCCGACTGCCTACCGCGACCACCGACCGTTTTGCAGCCTACCGGTAGGGCCGACCGGTCAGCGATCTGCCGACCAGTCAGTAAACAGCCATCCACTGATTCTGTCAGGCATAGACCCCTCCACACCAGATTAAGTCGGTCAATTAGTCGCAAAGGCGCACCATTTCTTCGGCTGACAAAGAGTTGTCGTTTTGCCCTTCTCCCCCATCCCCTTCCCCTCTTCTTTGACCAGGAACGCTCAAGGATATTCAAGAGCAGCACGCTTCACGTCTTAAGCTGATTGACAAGTTTATGGATAAGATAGCCGGGGCAGAGTCTCCGAAGCAGCTGGAGAAGCACATGTGCAAGCAACAAAATGCAAGCCTTCAGACCCATCAGATAGGAGGCCAAGGTGGTGGGTCGATGGCTCATGGTGACAACAACCAAGGGAACCGGAAACAGTCTGTACTCTCGATTCCTGTGTCCAGCAATACAGGCAACTTAAAGGACACGGTGACAAATAGAGGTAATACTAACAATAGTAATCAGCGGAATAAACTGGCGGTGGGCACGGTGGCAACCGTCATGCAGAAGGGGAAAGGGGATTCAATGTTATTGAGGCCTGAAGCTTGTGCTTTGGATGCCGAAGGAAGCAACTCAGAATTATCAACTCAGGGTGCCCATAATGTTGTAGTCCTGCAATGCGGTACACCTTTTAGCCAAGGTACAGAGCATCATCTCAGAGTCATCCCAGTCAAGACAGGCCAAAGCGCAAGCTCTTCCAATCCAGAGCTACTGCTTGGGAGGGGAAACCAACAGGAAATGTGCGGAGGTGGTGAGTTGCAGCGATGGGCACCCCCCCATTCGGTTGCAGGCACTCCGAGTAACCTCAGAGTCTCCGGGTTTGAGCCTAAGTCTCATGACTGTGACAAGATCCCTGGCAATGTGGACACAAATGGCACTACAACAGATGTTGAGCACCATCATGTTGGCGCAAGAGAGGACCAGGTTCTCTGGCAGGAACCTTGTCGGTGCCTTACTGCCTCAGCATCTCACCATCCATTGCGGGTTTCGAAACGTGCGTTAACTGAAGGGAGTCCAAAGGTCGACGAAGCGAAGTCGGTGATGTGTGATGTATCAACTGACCAAAGCCTGCGTAGCAACAACATAGCAAGAAGAATCAGCGATGGCAATTGTCATTACCTTGAAGGTCCTATTGTTGACGGCAATCTCCAGAATTGCCGCAACGATAACACGGGTGTGGGCTATATGAGCACCATTGCTGGTGCTGGTGCTGGTGATGGTGATGGTGATGGTGACGGTGATGATGACGACATTGTGATGATCACCACGCCCCGGGACTCGGAACTGTGTGGTAATGAACCGACTGAATGTGTGCATATGCTGGACAGTATTCTTCCTCAAGCTATGGATGCCAGTGGCAGTAATCATGACCATCAAATGTGCAGCAAGCTGAGAGTCCAAAGCTGTCGTAAGAATGGTGATTCCCAGGTGGTGGCTTGCCACAGGCGCTTGGAGAGGAGCGCAGGAGGTGTTCAAAGTCCTCTTTCGGAGTATGTGGGCTGCATCAATGGTGATTTTTGTGATAATGGTGATCCATGTGGTCGTGATGGAGGAGAGGGTGGCCCAGAGACAATGCAGCCTGGGCAAGCTCAGGACTCCAGCACCTGGAGTGAAAGGGGTTCGCTCGAGAGCCGCCGCTCTTGCTCCTGTAGTCAGAACCATCGACATTATCCCACGGGACAGGCCAATGCTTATACAAGTGGCCATGGCACTTGTAATGGGAACAATAATGACGAAGGCAGCTGCATGGTAGACAGAGTCGTTCGATGGAAGGGCGCTGCAATGCGAGAGCGGCATAGGCCGGGCCAGTCATTGGATAGAGACCTCATGATGAAATCTGATGCTCTTGAAGTCTGTGATCCTGGTCAAGCTGTGCACTTCACATGGCCAGATAGCAAACCTCAATCCACAGAAGAGAGCGTGAGCACAGGGGTAAGAGAAGAGGGGGTAAGAGAAGACAGCAAACACCAGCAAGACGGAACCGTTACTAAGGAAATAGGGCAAAAGCCTCCCCGCACACTGTTATCAAGGCCGCATGATTCCACATGCTCAAAGCTTGGAGATTGCTCCTCACTCAAACAACCATCCCTTCAGGTCAGTCCGGCAGAGTTCTTTCCACCACTCACCCACACATCCGTACGTTCTTCAGGGTTCATACCAAGGGGGGTAAGGCAACACAGCGGTGCTTCTTCGGTGATGGAATCAGAACCGAGCTCCAAGGACGGTAGACAGGGCACCACTGCAGCGACAGCAGCTCAAGGGGACGGAGTGTGCTGTGATCATGTAAAAGGTGAGCATAGAAGTGGGAAAAAAAAGGGAACACAGGGGACTAAAACAGGAGAAAATGACCAACAGGCTTAGCTCACTCAGTACACCCGTAAACTGTTGAAATGCAGACCTGAGTTTGAATCCAGATGGAACCAGATGACTGAAATTCCCAACTTACCTGGGGCTGGCCACTTTCGCAACGATATCTTAAGGCTATCTCCCTTTTAAAATAAAGAAGAACCGCAGAAAAAGCAATGCGAAAGAAGTTCACAGAAAAAAAAAAAAAGAGGAACAGAAGAAAAAGCAAAAAGAAAAGGTAAGAAAGAAGAAAAGGGTTAGGCTGACCCTTCTCCTCTCTTCTTTTCTCCCCCACTGTCTTGGTACAAACATGCTTGTCGAGGATGAGTAACCGGACTGCTGCCCCCCAGAATAGAAGGGATCTATGCGTGGTTAAAAAGAAAAAGAAAAAGAAAAAAAAAAAAAGAAAGAAAGAAAGAAAAAAGAGAGAAAAAAAAAGAAAAAAAAAGAGAAAGAAGAGATGACAGTAGGGTGACAATCCTGAGTGGTAAACACTGAGGATTGTGGGAGTAGGGGAGCACCAGGGAGAAATGATGAGAGCGGGTGGGGGGAGCGAGTCTCATAAGGAATGGGGCCCTTTGTAGACTATTTGGATACCCTGATGGCCGACTATGGAAGGTGACAGTCTTCTTAAATCCGAAGTGTCCTTCAGTATCATGGCATTCCCCAATAATCAGGCTTTTAATATCTTATCTATGTGGAATGCAGATTTTGTCTTCGGTTTTGTCAGTAAAGAAGAGCAAGTCATGAATCATTTTATACTCAGACAAGAGTTCAGTATTTTTCAGTAACGTTTGAATGATAGGATGCCATATAGAATCCTTAGCATACCCTCGTCGGACTTTGTCCTTCAACTCTGTCCCAATGTCAAGGTAGGAAGCAATGGTACGAAAGAAATCGGAACGCCGGGACAAACCAGCAGCAACCACATTGGACTTACCCTTAATGGTTTTCAATTCAAAGTCAAACGTGTAGATGAATGTTGACCATCTCACTAACTTGTCAGAAAGTCGGGGTTGCGTCTTAATCCATTTCAGGGTCGAATGATCAGAATAGACCATGAAATGTCTTCCAAGCGATTAGTGTTTCCACGTATCCAGCACTTCCACTAAGGCATACAGTTCCCTTTCGTAGGTGGACTTAGCCACCTTATCAAATGGAAGGCGTTTAGACATAAACTGTATAGGTCTATATCCCTTCCCATCATCTTGTTGTAGCACAGCCCGAATCCCAAACTGACTAGCATCAGTTGTCACAATGAAAGGGGATGATGGGTCAACAATCTTCAAAACAAGGTAGTGAGTTAGTGTGTGCTTCAATTTCTTGAACGCAGACTCATAATCAATATCCCATAGCCAAGGTCTCTCTTTCTTTAGCAATTTTCTCATGAGTGCAGCTATAAGGGAGAGGTTCCTCACACACTTTCTATAATAGCTAGCAAGTCCTACAAAGGATCGCAGTTCAGTGACAGTCTTGGGTTTGGGTCAGTCTCCGATTGTTGTAATCTTTATTTCTTTGGGAAATTACGTGATGCTGACCAGTACCCGAACTTTTCGGGGATCGAACACAGGGTCGGCAATGTCCTATAACTCGTACTTTTCTTTTGCCCGTGCACGAAAGGAAAAAGGGGAAAAAAAAGGCCTTTGTACTGCAATGATGTCGGGCAGGGTAGTCTAGGAGGTTGTCTTCACTGTCTTGAATGCATCTCACCACAAAGACGATCACATTCTGAAACTTGTTGTTTTCTCTTTTTTATTTCTCTTTTGTTTGTTATGTGTCCTCTGCCGGCGAGGCAGGGCGGAATCCGTGATTTGCTCTACCTGTGTTTCCTCAAATGATTGTAACCCTGATGTATCCAGCCGTTTTCAAGGCCGAATCCGTGTTTTCGTTTTTTTTTTTTCTTGTTTTCTTTTTCTGAAATCTGACAATCTGAATCCGTGATCTGCTCGAGTTGTGTTCCCTCAGAGGATTGTAGCCCTAATCACACTGGCACTTACGGGAATGTATCTTGCCATTTTCACGGTCGAATCCGTGTTTCTGTCTTTTTTTTTTTCTTTCGAGTTTCTGGAATCTGACAACCTGGCCACGGGGCTGAGACGCCCTCACTGAGGGCACACTCACACTAACACTTCCGAGAATGTATACAACTGCAATCACGCCCAGAGCTTTGTTTCGTTTTCTTGTTTTGTGAGTTTTCACGGCCACAACTTTTTTTTTTTTTTTTTTTTTGGTT